CCTCTGCAATATGAAGCTGCAGAAGAACTTGAAAGTAAAAGGAGATTTGAAACCTGGAATTAACAAGATGAAACTCTCTAGAGCCTTCTCCTTTACGTAAGATTAGACAAAACCCGAACAAGTATCAATCAGAAAAGCACTGAACACTGAGAGGGTCAGACCGGCACACCTCTGAGATCACCAGTACAACAGCAGCTGCAGAGTAAAGGATCTTCTGGAAGGGCAGGATGCAGGTGGGAACCAAGTAAGCGCTGCTGTATCACAGCCCCCATTGGTACTGAGCAGTCCTGATGGAAGCCCAGCTTCTGAAACCTGTCTTCTGCTTCTGTCACATAGTTTTGCATATTATGACTGGATCATCTCCTCTAATAAGGTGTCAGATCTGATCGAGGCTTTTCCTGAGGCTGAGGCATTCCCAGTGCCTGTCTCTTCCCCCTTCCTTCCCAGTCCTGCAGAAAAGAAGAACCAGCCGCATTCTTCACCAGCCAGAAGGTTCAGATTTCAGATCTTAGTATCATAGAATCATAGAATAGTTAGGGTTGGAAAGGACCTTAAGATCATCAAGTTCCAACCCCCCTGCCATGGGCAAGGACACCTCATACTAAACCGTATCACCCAAGGCCTCATTCAACCTGGCCTTGAACACTGACAGGGATGGAGCATTCACAACCTCCCTGGGCAACCTATTCCAGTGCCTCACCACCCTAACAGTAAAGAACTTCCTCCTTATATCCAATCTAAACTTCTCCTGTTTAAGTTTTAACCCATTACCCCTTGTCCCATCACTACAGTCCCTAATGAAGAGTCCCTCCCCAGCATCCCTATATGCCCCCTTAAGATACTGGAAGGCTGCTATGAGGTCTCCACGCAGCCTTCTCTTCTCCAGGCTGAACAGCCCCAACTTTCTCAGCCGATCTTCATATGGGAGGCTCTCCAGTCCCCTGATCATCCTCATGGCCCTCCTCTGGACTTGTTCCAACAGTTCCATGTCCTTTTTATGTTGAGGACACTAGAACTGCTCACAATACTCCAAGTGAGGTCTCACGAGAGCAGAGTAGAGGGGCAGGATCGCCTCCTTCGACCTGCTGGTCACACTCCATTTGATACAGCCCAGGATACGGTTGGCTTTCTGGGCTGCAAGCGCACACTGAAGCTGGCTCATGTTCATTTTCTCATCGACCAGCACCCCCAAGTCCTTCTCCGCAGGGCTGCTCTGAATCTCTTCTCTGCCCAGCCTGTAGCTGTGTCTGGAATTGCTCCGACCCAGGTGTAGGACCTTGCACTTGGCATGGTTAAACTTCATGAGGTTGGCATCAGCCCACCTCACAAGTGTGTCAAGATCCCTCTGGATGCCTAACTGTGGGTCCCACCTCTCTGCCTGTTGCCCTGAGGTGTGCATGTTTCATGTCAGGTAAGTCAGTATCTTTAAAACTATGATTTAAGCCACTTTGAATTGGCCAGCGGGTTCAGAAGTTCCACATGAAGGACTGGCATGCAAGCTCCACCTTAAACATGCCTTGTTTCCCGGGTAGTCATGTTCACAATCCAAAATATTGCTAAATAGGCAAGAACAGGCAATTATTTAAAGGCATACTAATACTACTGGTCAGTACAGAGATGTTCATTTTAAGTGTGTTTGCTCCATGTCTTCTCTTCTTGCTTCTCCCAGTCGCAAAACCGGCACCAATGCTGCTGTGACCTGTGTTTCAACAAATTGGAGACCAGAAACTCATCACCAAACCACTCATGGCTGACACACGTTCTCTTTAACCCAAGTGTTCTCCTGATAGCATTGTGCTGTAATCTCAAACCAGAGTCATACAGCAGTTTCAGTTGGAAGGGAACTTAAAGCTCATCTACCCCAACCCCCTGCCATGGGCAGGGACACCTTCCACTAGAGCAGGTTGCTCCAAGCCCCATCCAACTTGGTCTTGAGCACTGCCAGGGACGGGGCAGCCACAGCTTCTCTGGGCAACCTGTGCCAGGCCCTCATCACCCTCACAGGGAAGAACTTCTGGCTAATATCTAAACTAAATCTTCCCTCTGTCAGTTTAAAACCATTCCCTCTTGTCCTATCCCTGCATGTCCTTGTAAAAAGTCCCTCTCCAGATTTCTCATAGGCCCCCTTTAGGCACTGGAAGCTGCTCTATGGTCTCGCTAGAGCCTTCTCCCAGGTTGAACAGCCCTAGCTCCCTCAGCCTGTATCAGGGCTGTATAACCCCTCTTATCTCTACAATAAAACTGCAAGCTCGGCAAAGCTCTCAAAACAAACCACTGAGGCTTGTGGGTTTTATTACAAGTGCAAAGCAGGGGCCCTATCGCACTGAAACTGCCAAAAGGTGCAGTGAACCTGAAGGGATGAATGACATTCACTAATTCGGCATGGATTAGCCCCCAGCTGGGAACAGTGCCCAGCTGTACAGGTAAATCAGAGCCAACAGGGGTCAGAGATGTCTTTGCAGGCCCAGAAAGGATTTATCCATAAAAGGATGCAAAGCAACACAACAAAGTAGCAAGACACTCATCCAAGCTAAGATGTCCCACATCACCCAGCATCTAACACAGTGCAGGCTTTACATTCCTCTAACAACCAAGCAAAAGTATGAGGTATTGGAAAGAAAGAATAAAAGCATGAAACCTAAAGTGCAAAATGATCAGAGAACAGGCCCACTAACTGTCAAGCAGGGAAGTAGCACTTCTATAACAGGCCAGGAAGAAACAAACATCACTGAGTTTCAGCATGAAGAAGAGCATAAACCTATTGAAGCAGAGAGCTTCACATCCCTAAAATGATTGTACAATGAAATAAACACTGAGATAGATCACGGTCCTGCAGGTGTCTGTACTCCAGACAGTGCACCGGAGGAGCTCCTTAACACAGCCCCAGTGTGCAGAGCTGCCAAACGTGGAACTATCAAGGCCACAGGAGACACTGATTTTTAGCATCCCAAGCAGAGCCAGGATGGAGCATGCAATGACAGGCCATGGACCTGGTCCTGCCGCAGAAACCACAAACCAAACATACCCTTTGGAGCCACAGAGTACCAAGGAGTTGTGTTTAACAGGGATGCTGTGTCCCCAAGGAGCTCAGCTCATCTGCCTGCACAAGGGCATGAGGTGTCATTCCAGAGACCTCAGAGCATCTGGGATATCCACTGTAGGCAACAGGTACAACACTGGCCCTACGAACAACCTGTGTCCATCAGTCATCCTGACACCTCTCAAATGACTCAAGAAGCTTTTGTGCCCCAGATCTGCTCCTCCTGCGATGAAAGCACAGGCCACAGAAACTCAGTGCTGGTGTCTTCTGAGCTGAAACACACTGAGGAGTCCTGAAAGCACAGAGAGAGGTGCCCTTGGCAGCCATGCATGAGAACGTGTGCAACTGTCTTTTCCTCTTATGAGCATAAATATCTCCAGTTTCTGCAAGAGCTGGGAGCTCCAGCAACAGGTCACGGGCCCCAGCTGCAGTCCGCAGCCAAAAATACTAACAGAAGAATGGCCATGCTAGGTGAGGCTGGGGGTCTAACTACCCCAGCGTCCAGTCTCCAGCAGTAACCAAAACTAGATGCCATGGGGAGAATGTAAGGATAAACTAAGCATACACTGCTTATTTTCCTAAAATTATCCATCTTTTAGGCATAATCTACATCTATTTTTATAATCTACCTATCGGACCGTTTGTAGATGAGGAATTTCCTGAGTCTGGAGCACTGTTTTTGTGTTGAATCGCCCTCAGTGAGTCTTTTTTCCACGAATTTATCAGTCTCCTCTTATCAGCGTGACCTCCCACCAGGCCAAACTTGTGACTTCCCTGAAGCTCAGGTTCCTCCCCCTCACTCTAATGCTGTCTGTTCAGGCTCTGACAAAGACCATCCAGCACATTATGAACCTCTGATGAGGGGATCATGAAGCACACTGACTTGGTTCTGTCTTTCCAAAAACTGAGTCTCCAGCATATGGTCCTTAGTAGGGAGAACAACAGGAATACAGGGAACTCCTCCATTGCTCTGGGTCAGGCTCTCTACAGTGATGAGTTTCTACATCTTCACTTATCTCCATGAGTAACAGGAAATGAAAGTTATTATTTCTTCATGGCTAGCCCAGGAAGCTGTATTATACAACAGAGGCCTGCAATAGAGTCTCCTGCTTTGGAAATCCTTTGGCAATGAATTTCCCCTCTGATGACAGCCGACTTCCCTCTGAATTTCCGTGATCATGCAGAATACGAAGAGCCTATACAGAGCAGGTTAACACAACAACACTAGAACCTTCACACTACTCACTGACCTATCAATTTTTCCGTTTTCAAGAAACTCTTCTTCCCTTCCTTTATCCAGTTAATTATTTTTCCTTCCATTATCCAGTTCCACATATCCCTCACCTCTCCCTCTAACTATCTCCCTATCACACTGGACCCGCACATGGCAGTTCTCACACTGTGTGGCGTCAGTGCAAGATGCCTCCCGGCTGACCTGGCCCAAAGCATCCTTTGACACACACAACTTTATTACTGAAGGTTTAGCATAATACAGGGCTCCAGATTACTTTGCAGGGCTTACGGCTAGTGGAAATACAGCACACTTCTCCCTTCTCTCCTGGAAGCTGTGCAAGGTTCTGATGAAAACACTGAGGAGGTCACTCCGCGGCCTGGTAAGGGCTTTTCTGCTTGAGCAGGGTATTTCTTCACATCCCCTCTCCGGACAGGGCAGCAAAGCCCGAAGCAAGCAGCATCTGCTCCCTCCAGGCACCGAGCTCAACCGGGCCCTGCCGTGGTAGAGGGTGCCGAGAGCCTCACCCTAGAGAACCCTAAGCCCCGACCCACATCAGCCCCACAGAGGAGGCGGCAGGCTCGGCCCTGCTTCCCTTCCAGCGCGGCCCAGGGACACCCCATCCCCATCCCCGTTCCCGCCGCCCCTCCCGCAGGGCCCGGCGGCCGCCCTAAGGGAAGAGGAAGGGGAGATGCCGCCTTGCCTCACCCACGCTGCCGGACAGGTCGAGGAGGACGTCGTCGCGGCCCAGGCGGCGCAGGAGGTCGAGGAGGCGGCCGACGGTGGCGCCACCGGGGCAGCGGCACTGCCAGTCCTCCAGCAGCGCGGCGGTGGGGTCGGGCTGCGCCTCCAGCCGCCGGATCTCCAGGTACTCGCAGCCCAGCGCCTCCGCCAGCGTCGTCCAGTCAGCGGCCGCCGCCGCCCGCGGGTTCAGGTAGAGGCTGAGGCGGCGCCGCAGGCTGTAGTTGAGCGCCACCATGGGCATGGCGTGGAGGTCTGGCGGCGACGCGGCGCGGCCGGAGCCGAAGCCGGAGCCGGAGCCGGAGTCGGGCCCCACCGGCGCCGTGGCCATGGCCGCGCGGCTCTCGCAACTTCCCCCTCCCGGCTCCGCGGCCCTTTCGCTTCCCGCCTCGCCCCGCCTCCCGCCGGGCTCTGCCCGCCCTACCCGCACCTACCGGGGTGCTTCGGCGCGCTCCCTGCTTAACGGAGACCTGGGGCAGCCCGGGGGGTGGTGGGTCGGAAGGGACCCTTCTGCGCCGCAGGGAACAGTGCGGCCCTTAAGGCTGTTTGCGTCCACTCCCGTACAGGCCAGGCATGACGGGGCTTTGAGCAACCTGGTCTAGTGGGAAGTGTCCCTGCCCGTGGTTCATGGGTTGGAACTGGACGAGCTTTAAGGTCCCTTCCAACCCAAACCATTCTGTGATTCGAACCATTTTAAACTGATTTGGATGCCGAGTACAAAACATGGTTCTCAGCTAGGAGCTGAGCAGTTTCAAGCTTCCAGGCTGATACCAAAAGCAACCTGATGCTGCAAGGACTCCAGAGCAGTTTTCAGGAGGAACTTACTGTTTCTCCGAAGTACTGTAGGAGACACAGTAGGAGAATGTCCTCTGAAGTCCCACTGTATCTATGGATCTCTGGAAATGAGGAAGGCAAAATATTCCAGTAGCAAAACTTTTAATCTCATGATTAGCAGTTTTAAAGCTTTAACCCATGAAAAATCAGTGTAAGAAAGTTCACTAGAAAGAGTTCTGACTGAACATCTGCCACATAAACCATCATCTGCTCCAGTTTGTAAAGGGAGGTAGAAATTTAGCTGCAACAGCAGTAAGCACCAGTGGCAGGAGGCCCTGGAAAAGCAGCCACACTTCCTCCACATAGAAAAGCCACACCATTTTGGTTAGTTACTATCAATTAGAGAGTCCCTTTCAACCAATGGACTTTACAAAGGTGAGAGGAACACACTGCCCATGGCAGTCACAGCCTCAGCACTGAAGGGCAGCCACTCCTGGGGAGCAATGGGTGAACTGCCCAGGAGCTCACAGCCTCAGCACCACAGCGAAAACACAAGATCTCATCACCACAACTGGTGCTAATACCCAACCTCCACACACCCACATCCAGCTTGTGTCTCTGGGAACACTGAACAGGCACATCCCAACGTACTCTGCTGCAGCCAGACTTGTGCCATTGGCTTGGATCAAGATTAACCGCTCCCCTGGCATCTTCAGCAGTGAATGCTCCCCCCAAGCACTTCCCCAGCAGGCTCGTGGATGGGCAGCCTTCATCACGCATCTTTCTTGCGAGAAAAGTAAAAATCTATCCCTCTGTCCTTGTGCCGCACTGGTGAGCGTGCAGGTCCTCTCCTGCCCCTGGGGTGGGGACTTCTTCCCTGCAGCAGATGAAAGATGAACAGTGAGATATTCACCCAGGCTGCAGAGCGAGTCTGATCACAAAGCAGCCCTGACATGCAGGAAGATGTGGAAGTGGCATTTCTACTCCCAAATTCACTAAGAAGGTGGGGAGGCCTGGCAGCTCTAGGCTTGGACTGGGGAAACTAGGGCTTGGGGTAAGGTATGAGCTTGTATTTTCAAAGGTATTTTGATATTCCATTTGGGGGGGTGAGGAGGAGTCTTCTCCAGGCCTCAGTGACACTGGGCCGACAGTCCCCCCCAATAGTATGTTAACTCCACAAGCATCCACAAGCACAGTGTGGCAGCACAGGCCCACAGAGCCCAAAGTGAGCTGGAACATTGATCAGAACAGAACTCCTGCCTGGCAGAGGAGCTTTTTGGCTTCAGGTTTTCTCACTGCCTCAAAGCAGTGTCTCATCAAGGGGCTCCTTCACAAAATCCTTTCTCTGATCTCAGATACACTTTTAAACAGAAGGGTGATAATCCAGGCCCTTCAACAACATGGCTAAAAGTGGAAGGCTTTGCTTCCACAAAACTTTCCAGTCATGGCAAAGAAATGTGTCCTGAGAACTTGCTACTGCACCTTAGGATTAAAACCTGAAACAGAGACATCCTTCATTCTTCACTGAACATAGTATAATGACTAAATCTGAGTCTTCACAAAGTATCCTTACTGGGGAGAAGGCAGGGAGGATGCATGGGGGAAGACAACATTATGACAGCCCCTTGACATACACAACCATTGGTGACATCTATTTCCTTCTTCCCCTCCAGCTCCACCACCACTGACCCCACCAGACTGACAGAGCACTTTCCTTCCATACCCATCTTCTCCAAGAACATCAACCCAGGCAGCAGATACAAGTTCTGACATACTGCAGGATCCACGTCTTAGTCTTTCCCCATTTTAAAAGGGAAGTACACTCAAAAAGCAAAGTGCAAGAGCCAGTCTCCCAATCTTACTGGCTCCAGTTTGGATGCCCTCAAGCACGGTAGGAAGTTGGTTGGTTTTACTTTGACCTCATGAACAGAGTAGAAGCTGAACATCAGCCTTGGCTCTCTTCTGTCTGTCTGCATTGAGGGGTGGTTAGCCCAGTGAAGGCTTTCAGAGATAACCCATTCCTTCCTGCTTGCCATTGGCAAGGTCCAGAGGGCAGGGAAGGATGCTGTGAAAGACATGCTGTCTATGGCTAAGCCCCGCTGACTATACAAAGCTGATGGGTTAAAGAAGCAGCTAAAATTTACATCATTCACCAGTGGGTATATCTGCACTATGTATGTCCATGAAGAAAAACCTGACTAAGAAAAGCTGCCTAGAAAATAATAAACAAAACAGGCATGGTTCATGCTTCAGCCTCAAAACCAACTGACCTGGCACAGTATATGTCCATATGATGTAGGGTGGACTGTATTTTGTGACAGTCCTAAGCATGCAGTATGCTCAAATTATGCTTGGATAAGGTTCTGGAAGGTGCTTGTTGGCCCTGGCAAAAATAGTGCTGGGGAGCACATTAACTGTAACTGTCTGGAGGAGAGGGGACCGGTACTTGGGCCTGTGCCTCAGCCATGTTTAGTTTGGTAGGGCAGACCTTGCTAAATAGTCCCTGTGCTGTGAAGTAACGTGACTTTGCATTAGAGTAATTTTTTCCCATTGTACCTCAGAAAGAAGAGCCAAATTTGCAGACACTCCCTCCTACAGGCACAGAGCAGGTGCCTGGAGCCCTCTCACCCCATCCCAACCTTCCCAGTACTCACGGGCCTCTGGCTGATGTGTCGGCTCCACTCCGCGGCTGTCACAATTGGCTGTGGATATGTCTCACCTAGAGTTACTCCTGCCTGGGAGAGAGCAGCACTGCTAAGTGCCCAAGGGGTGTGGATATCTGCTCCCTTTATGCCCTGTAGTTCTGGGACCCACAGCCGGACATAATCCCCCTGAAAACAGAACCAATGGGACAGTATTCATTCAGTAACTATCCGTAAGTGCTTCCCAGCAAGGGTCCTTCTTAACATCAAAGAAAAGTCTGATTTCCAGGTGAAGAAGCTGATGTACTATCACATCAGCTACCTCTGTCAAGCCTTAGCCCCTCCTGCTAAACTCTCTACCCAAAATTAGTGCCTCAGGACAGAGACCTAGATGCTGAAGCTCTTCTCACAGACGTAGGCAGAGGAGGGAAATGGGTGCTCTTTGGATACAGTTCACCTCCCCTATTTAAGACATAGTGATACGAAGTGACTTCCAAGAAGTCCTTTTTTCTTTCCAGTGACTGAAGGAAACTAGGGTGATTAGCTCAGATGCACACTCTTGTGCTTGGTAAGATGAACCCCCCTCCTTGCCCCTGAATCTCTCCCATTGACTCTACTGCTGTGTCTCCTACTAGGACTGATTTCTGATTCCTTGCTAAGGCCTGCCAGCAAGGCAGGACTTAGCCAAAAGGCAACAGAGCAGCTTGCCTGAAACTAAAGAGTAGGGAGGAAACAGGCAATCCAGTATGTAAAGTCTGGCTAAGCAGGTAAGGGTGATTTTTCTGCTCCCACCACTTACAGAGGAAAGTCAGAGGAGTCACAAGTTTAATCTGCTCTCCAGAACCTCTCAAGGAGCAGCTCCATCTCTCCTGTCACTTGTGAGTTCTCCAAGAAGCTGCTCTGTGCTCGAGGAAATGGCTGTGTAAGATACTGATGGGATGTGGCTGTTGCCCAGAAGAAGTGGTGATGAAACACGAAGCACAGACCAACAGCAGGGCAGGGAGAGCATACAGAGCACCAGCCTCTTTGGGGACAGCAGCAGATTGTAACCATCAGATCTGCCTGTGAAACGAGGAACCTGCCTGACTGTTGGCAAGGAGGAAATCACAGAATGGCTTTTGCCATTTCAACACAGTAGATTCCACACAGCAGTACCCACATAGCAGACTGACTTCCTCTGTTCCCTGAAACTACCACAGATGCTTTGCTGCACTATTCATTGTAAGACAGCCAAAGAAGACTTACATTGCCATCGTAATCCAGGCCTTGCTTAACCATGTTAAACTTCCTGTTGTCCCGTGGGTCGTTGCCAACACCAGCACTGTATAACCAGTTGCCATAATTGCTACAAACATCATAATCCACCTTGAGAACAGAAGAAGAAAACAGTAAGACAAGGTGGAGGCCCTTGTGAGCCTTCTCTCTTCATTCACCTTTTATCTCAAAGGGGAAATTCCTTGCATGGGAATCAGTCTGGTTACACTGGGGTAGTCAGAGCTCTTCCATATAGGTATGGCTGCCTGGCTCAGAAGAGGACCATGCTGCATGGCTGCTGGACAGGGCTTGGAGCAATCTGGTCTAGTGGAAGGTGTCCCTGCCTGTGGCAGGGTGCTGGAACTGGGTGAGCTTTAAGGTCCCTTCCAACACAAACCATTCTGTGATTCTGTTTTTTACAGCTGGCGTCAGCTTCCCAGGCTACTTCACTTCCTAGTCCTTAGGTCAATGAGACAGGTAAAAGTCCAATCAAAGTATTTTTTTCAGTTTCCTTTTTAAAAAGAATATAAATCCTTCCCTTTCTGCCATCATGTGGCAGACTTCATGACAAGCAGGCCTAGCTTTTGAGTGCTTATATTCCAAGAAACATTGCCCACTACATTCCAAATACAAGAGAAAATTCTGATCAGTTACCCAGAGACCACAGATGAACAAAATCATCTGCAGATCCTATTAGGCAGGTTGGAGACAAGTCTAATTTGGACTGTATGGACTGACCCAACTGAGTGTATGAAGATGCAGTCAATACAAACACTGAAGTTTTTTCTCTGCTATACTCAAACTTCATCAGGTAAAGGGTTTAAACTTAAACAGGGGAAGTTCAGGTTAGATATAAGGAAGAAGTTCTTTGCTGTGAGGATGGTAAGGCACTGGAACAGGTTGCCCCGAGAAGCAGTAAATGCTACACCCCTGTCAGTGTTCAAGGCCAGGTTAGACAGAGCCTTGGGCAACATTGTCTAGGATGAGGTGTCCCTACCCATGGCAGAGAACTAGATGTTCTTCAGGTCCTTTCCAACCCAAACCATTCTATAAGCCTCAGCTTTTGGCAGAGAGACGTGCTTTGCTACGGGGATCACTTGAGATCTCATGACATGCTCAGTAGGCTGCACTCAAGGGTTCTTACCTAAACTAGAGCAAGACTCCTGTAACAGTCACAAACAAGAGCAGAACAAGGTCCAGTCTGAGTTCTCCTCAGCTGTACAGTGTGGCTCAAGTCCAGCATCAGAAGCTTTCCAGCTGTAGGACAATTCAAACCTAGCTCAGGAGGGGAGTGGCGGTGATAGCAGATAGGGTGTGAGATCTTTGGGCCTTCCCAAGAGGGGTGTCAGCATTGTGAAAGCTGGCAGGCGCAGCAGGAAGAGTCTGCAAAGACATGTCACTCAGCAGGTTCAGTGCTGTGCTCCCTTTACTGCAGCAACAGACATGCCACCCAGTGATGTTTCCAAAATCTCAGCCACTCCTCAAAGCAAGCAGCTCAATGCCCCCGGATGGCAGAAGGCAGAGGAGTGGGCTTTGCCAGGTCCCTTCCCCTTTCCTTGCAAAGCCAAGAAGGCTGAGAAAGTTGGGACTGTTCAGCCTGGAGAAGAGAAGAGAAGGCTGCTTGGAGACCTCATAGCAGCCTTCCAGTATCTGAAGGGGGCCTATAGGGATGCTGGGCATGGACTCTTCATTAGGGACTGTAGTGATAGGACAAGGGGTAATGGGTTAAAACTTAAACAAGGGAAGTTTAGATTGGATATAAGGAGGAAATTATTTCCTGTTAGGGTGGTGAGGCACTGGAATGGGTTGTCCAGGGAGGTTGTGAATGCTCCATCCCTGGCAGTGTTCAAGGCCAGGTTGGACGAGGCCTTGGGTGATATGGTTTAGAGCAAGGTGTCCCTGCCCATGGCAGGGGGGTTGGAACTTGATGATCTTAAGGTCCTTTCCAACCCTAACTATTCTATGATTCTATCTGGGGTCAGGGTGATCCACAGCCAGCTATGCTCACTGTGCTTCCCCTTCCCACAGCACTTCCCCCTGCTGGGCAGATAAGGAGTGAAAGAAAGATGCCATCAGAGGCCTGATTGCACAATCAGCATGCAGGAAAGCATCTGTGAGAGGTGAGGGCAAATACAAGAGGACTAGAAGAAGCAGGCTCATTTCCCCCTCAGCCTTGCCCCTTCCTGGCATTCTCTTCTGTTTGTTTCTTTCCCTTTCCCTTGGGCCTGACCCTGTGCATGAAACCATAGCTGATTTATTCTGTTCAGGACACCAGAGGTCTCTGGCCTTTCCCCTGGCTTCAGAGACCCTTAGTTTCCCTGCCCATCTGGTGTGGATGACAAACACCCTTTTCTTCACAGGCATGCACAGACACTCAGTGAGCCTTTGCTGGAAGTATCAGAGATTAAATATGCATTGCTTTTCCTCTTTAGAGGCAAGCAAGACCAGTTTCAGTTCTATATTGGCCTCTACCATTCTGTAGCCTTATCTCCCTCTCTCCTCTGTGTTACTCTGGGGGTGTCACCAGCTTAAAGTAAGAGAGCTGTCTAGCAATGTGTCAGTATGATACAAGCGGAAAGGAAGGGACAGAAGGACACAAGGATCAGCATGTGCCACACCAGCCTGTAGTGGCAGTCAGCATCCGGGGTTTCCTGAGGTAAGAGTGCTAAATCCTGCTTCCAGCAAGGCTGGTAACATTCATGCCTATATGAATAAAGGTATGTAACCCAAGTTGCATCTTTCTAGTGTGAGACCTCCCAGGTCTTCCTCTCTTGGGAAATAGGACCTGGAATTTATCTGGCCCCTCTCATCTGACTGTAAAGTGAGCCAAGCTCCTAGCTGAGGAAGGCTAGCTGCCCCACTGTCAGAGCAAAGACTCAGTTTGTGACTCCCAGCTCTTAACCAGACTTCGAGTACAAGGCTTGCCTGTACATGAAGCTCTGTCTCTGAAATGAAGTTACCTTCCTAACTGCTTTGAAACCTAGAATACCAGGTTGGAAGGGACCTCAAGGATCATTTTTTGAGGCAAAGCATGACATAAACTAGATGTCCCAGGATCATGTACAGTTGAATCTTTAAAGTATCCAGTGTTGGGGAACCCACTACTTCCCTGGGGAGATTATTCCAGTGGCTGACTGTTCTCAGTGTGAAAACTTTTCCTCTTGTGTCCAGTCGGAATTCCCCAGGAGTAACTTGTGCCCATGACCCCTCATCTTTTCCATGTGACTCCTTGCAAAAAGGGAGTCTC